GAATGAATTTCTTTTCCTTTTTTTTTTTTTTCTTATCTTTGCCATAAGACGTGCTCATTGGAGAGAGACAGAGAGAGGGAAAGTGAGAAATCACCCCCAGGGGGAATGGCCAAGCCACAGTCCCTTCTCCTCTATTCTCCTCTTGGGAGTTGGGGCATGCACAGCCAAATGCTTGACCTGATTTTGAGGCTGCCAGGTTTAGGACTTGAACCATGGTCTAGGCCATGTGGGAGTCCAGTGTCTTCACCACGCCAACTGCTGGTCGCAGGAGGAGTTTCTCTGATAAAGGTTGTAGTGGCACCTGAAGGCCCTTCAGTTGGCCAAATGAGTTTCAAAACAATGACAGCTAATGGATTATATATTCTATGATTTGATGTGAACACTTACTGAGTTAGCTTACTGATAAATCTCAGAAATCAGCCAAGTTTATGATCAGCTCAACACCTGGCATATTACTTGGCACATAGGGGCCCACTTTCATTATTTTTATCTGTTGGATTTGGTACCCTCTGGAGGATTGGAACAGTAAGTATCTCATGCATCTCCATACTTGGCATGCAGCTGATAGAAATAAAAAAAATAAAATAAAACCCCTGAATTTCAATTTGTTTGAATTCTCAATGCTGAGTTCAGGGTAAGGTTTAATTCAGGGGAAGGAAGGCCCTCCCATCTAAGGAACAAGAATAAAGATATTCTGTCATAAAACTGTATATCACACTTAGCATGCATGTTGACACAATAACTGCTTGAAAATCATTGCCTATGTAAACGTTGAAGTGCTCTCTTCTGCACAGGATATGCTTGAATCTGCATGGACACGATCTACTCCTTATTTAGCTTTGATTGCTTACATCTGTTCTCACATGGCAGTCACTGTAAAAGATGATCTGCAACAGTGTTAACAGTGGGATTGGACCTCTTCATGAAATGTAGCATCTAAAACCATCCCTGGCACCAGGCAGGGAATAAGGCATGTGCCTGTAGGCACACGGGTCCAGGCATTGCTGTTCCAAGAGTGGAGGAGGTGGTAGAGGTGGTGGTGATAGTGGAGGTGGTGGTGGAGGCAGTGGAGGCAGTGGAGGTGGTGGTGGAGGCAGTGGTGGTATTGATGGTGGAGGTGGTGTGATGGTGGAGACGGTGGAGGCAGTGGTGGAGGTGATGGTGGAGGCAGTGGTGGAGGTGGTGGTGGTGATGGAGGTGATAGAGGTGGTGGTGGTGGAGGCGGTGGTGGAGGTGGTGGAGGCGGTGGAGGTGGTGGAGGCGGTGGAGGTGATAGAGGTGGAGGTGGTGGAGGCGGTGGAGGTGATAGAGGTGGTGGTGGTGGAGGCGGTGGAGGCGGTGGAGGCAGTGACGGAAGTGGTGGAGGTGGTGGTGGACATAGTGAATGTGGTGGACGTGGTGGAGGTGCACCATATGGAAAAATTTCCTGCAGGTGAAGGCACTCTGCCACCAACCACCCCTCTTCACCCCACAACCTCAGTGAGAATTCCCTCAAGTTCACAGCTAATCTTGGTCATTACTGTCACTTGGACCTTCCTTTTCCAGTGTCCACCCTTTTCCTTGGCTCCACCCAGCTCTCATGGGCTACATTAGATCTTCTTCTAACAGAGCTCTGCTGCTTCTCTGTGCTGAGGTATCAAATTCTGTGCTCTGCATGGCTTTATCTGAAATACGGTCACTTGTGTAAGAGAGAAACAGGGCAACCCCTCATTCTCTCTTCTTATTCCCTTTATCCTGTCCCTTCCCACCCACTCCCACTTTTCTCCATAGTCATGTCTAACAGCATGACACGGGGGCCGGCTGAGCGCCCTGCAGGAGTAGAGTTAAGTGAGGGACGTTAGTCACCATGACTGGGCGGAGTCAGGTCGACTGTGCTGAAAGGGCAGAAAATGAAATGGGCAGTGAGTATCCTCTGTATTGACCGTACATGGATATCCATAAAACAGATAGGAGGACAGCTGGAATAACCCCAGAGGACACTCGCTGGTCTAGGAGATGCTTATTTATCTATAGGGAAGGATAGAGAACAGAAGAGCCTCCCCTGAAGAGGCTCTCCCAGTGCCATGTGCATCACTCCTACCAGCCTTCTTTTTCTAAAATAATAATAATAATAAAATAAAATTTCATATATATATATATATGATACAGTAAACATTTTTCCCCAGAGAGAGAGAGAGAGAAAGAGAGAGGGAAGGAAAGGGAGGAAGCACCTCCCAATGTGGTGTGATTACACCACAGTCCCCTGTCCATTTCTCCAGCCTGTCAGGATTTGGGTATGCGTGCACATGTGCCAGTATGTTTTTAAGCCACCTGGGCCAGAATGCAAACTATGGCTGGAACCTAGGGTGGGCCATGGGGATCCGGCTCTCTTAACCACGAGGCCATGGGGCTAGCCTGCTACTGCCTCTTTCCACAAAGCTGTCCTGCGTTCCCTCTCTCATTACTGAGATTACTCACCTGGAAGGGCCCATTCCAGTTGACCCTGGATTCAGTGTTTACAAGTCGAAATCACTGGTGGAGAATCGATGGCCATCTAACGTTGCTGGCACTGGTGGAACAGGGAAGGAGTACATATTGACAGCTCCATACGCACCATGCATTTCAATACGTCAACTGATGGCATCCTCAATACCACTCTACCTCAGGTTTAACGAGTCATCACACTTATCGCTGAGAGGACCAAAACGCAGAATGAGCAGCTAGCAAGTAGTGGAGGGAGCACTCTGCCGCCGGGACTCCTCTGCACACGGCGTCTGTGCCTTCCCACTGATCCACCAGTGTCTATTGTTGGGTGATTTAAGTGTTTACATTCCTTCCTCCTGATAACTATGACCTCCTGGAAGGAAGTAGCATGCTCCACACCACTCTGCCATCTCTCCGTTTTACACAGGGCCTAGATTTGGAATGAGCTGCTGTTTCTTGATAACTTTTGGACAATTTCTGTAAACAGTGCTGTGTTATGTTATACAATAATAACTTTTGAACTTGACTTCTTTTCAAAGTTTATGTGCACAGTTTGCAGTGGAGAGTTTGCCTGTCAACCAGCTGTATGGAAGTGATTCACCAGAAACAGCTGAAAAGGAAATACAGTATTTCTTTCCTCCTCAAAACACCTTAGCGTTAATTAAACCTCATGTAACACGTGAACAAAGAGGTAAATATTTCAATATAAAAGCCAATGCATACATTTTTCCCTCCAAATTTTGTGAAATTTTAAAAAAATTCACAAGCAGAAAGACAGAAAAAAAATCCATAAAATTCAAAAATAGAAAGGTTAAGAGATTATTTTATTACAGTTATTGTAATGCAAATATCCATATCCTTCCATTTAGAGTAACAATTAATTTTGTCTTATTTGCTCTCTAAATCACTCGCACTCCCTACCTTATCCTTCTGTCTCTCTTGTGATAAAAAATGGCATTGAATTTTGCCGAAGTTCTTTTAGGATTGAAGAATTTGTGTTTTTCATAAATATATTAAAATAGAAATTATGTTAATAAAGTTTTTGTTATTGAGAAATTTTCTTATACTCATATAAACATACTTGTATTATTTAGTCATAATAAACTTTTTGTGTGTGTGAAGTTTTCGCTATAGGGTATGTGTGCTCACTGGAGAGAGAGACAGGAAGAGAGAAATCACCCCCTAGGGGTAGGGCCACACCTCAATCCCTTCTAACCCATTCTCCTTTTGGGATCTTGGGCATGCACACACATGTGCCTGGCATTAGTTTTAATCCACCGAGTCTGGGACTCGAACCACGGTCGGCCATGTGGGAGTCTAGCGATGTAACCATTATGCCATCTGCTGGTCCCCATAATAAACATTTAAACATGCTTTTAGATCTGATTTGCTTATTTGATTTTTTTTTTTGCATTAAGATTTAAAAGTGAGATTAGTCTGTACTTTTCATTTTCTGTGAAAGTTTTATCGGTTTAATGCCAACACAACACGTCATAAAAAAATTTTAGGCATCTTTTTCAGTGATCGCAGAGTTTAAATGGCACTGGGGCTGACATGAGAAGGCTCGGTAGACGTTTTCCATGAGACCATTTGTGCTTGTTGCTTTTTGTTTGCAATAATTGACCACTTTGTTTCCGCCTATAAAAATTGATCTATTTAAACTTTTATTTTCCCTAAAGTTAAAATTTTACTAAATTGTATTTTCTTGAAATATTCTTCATTCCATATACATAATTGGCAAAGTAATCATTCATCATTTCTGTGGTCCCCGTTTCAGTAGTTATTTCTGCCTTGCCATTTCTTATTGTCTTCCAAACAAGAATCTGATTGGTGTAGGAGTTCCATTGCTCTTCTTTTTTCTAATTGGTTAGTTCTGGTTTATTTTCATTATTCCCTTCCTTTTATTTTGTAATTTTACCTTGGAGGAGGAGTTCTTTTAGCTTTTTGAGCTAGAGATTTAAGTCCTTTATTTTTATTTTTCAATTTACACTGACATAATTGCTTAAGCTTTATTTATTTCTTCTTTCTGAGAGAGAGAGAGCAAGAAGGAGATAGAGGGAAGTGAGAGACAGGCAGCACCAACAGTCTTTGTGCCATGACGCCCCCGGCCTCAGCCATCAGCGGCACACACAAGCGTGCCCAGCTGCACAGGGAAGTGCGGGGACACACGCAAGGACCTTCCCACGGGTCTAGCGTCGATGCTGTGCTACCTGTGCCACCAGCTGGTCCCAGATTGTACATTTTTCCTGCTGTTTCAGTTACAGCACATGAATTCTAATGAACAGTGCTTTCATTGTTTTTTAAAATAAATTTGACAGTTTGGGTTTGTATTTTCCCTTGAATCGTAGAGTTATTTCATACATAAATTAATTTTTAAAGACTTAAAAAAAATTTTGGTGTAAGAGAAATTTTGGTTTTTTATTATTATTATCTTAATACATTGTGATTAAAGAATATAGTTTGCCTTATATCTTTATTGGAGCTATTTGCTTTCATTGAAATATATAGTTTACAATAGGTGTATGTGAAGGCTGAGGACAAGAAGTTCTCTCTTTTCATAATGTAAAGTTTGAATATCAGATAAGACCTATCTTGTTTGTTTGCTTCATGTTTTCTTTGTCTTCAATTTTGTGTGCATGTGTGTGTGTGTGCACATGTGTGTGCGTGTGTGCACACATCAACTTAATCTGCCTTAGACTATTGTTTATGTCTTAGTCACCTGCTTTATTTTTCAATGAACATTTTTATGATTTCTTATTTGCATTTAATGATTGCAAATCTTTATAGCATACAATATATGTCGCTATTTCTTCCACAGTTTCTAATATATAATAGTGGCTACTATGTTATTTGATCCATAAAGAGAGAGACGGACACACAGAAACAGAGACAGTGAGAGGGGGAGGGAGAAATCACCCCCTACCCCCAGGGTAAATGGCCAGGCCTCCATCCCTTCTCCATTCTTCTCCTGGGATCTTGGGCACACAAGCACATGTACCTGGTTTTCAAGCCAAAGGCCCGGGACTTGAACCACAGTTGGCCATGTGGGAGTCCAGCACTGTGGCTGCTACATCATCTGTGGCCCTATGAATTTTAATTTTCAGAAGAATACGAAGTTTCGCTGCTGCACCGTTCTGTCCCCTGTCGTTTGCTGTATTTTAAGTTGTGTCTTCCATTAGGCATCTTTAAATTTAGCCTGCATTTGGGGTGATTTTATCTCTATCTTCAATTCTCTTTTGAATATAGTCAACTTTTACTTCACATGCACTTACTGCTTGACTGCTTCTATTTTTGAGTTCGAGGTTTTTATTCACGATATTTTTTAAATCCCAAGTGCCGCTTATATTAGAGTATTATATTATTGTGGTTGGTTTTTTGTTTGTTTGCTTGTTTGTTTTTTTGCATTTGTTAGTCTTTCTTTTTACTTTCATTGAAAAAGGAAAATTACTTTATTCAGGAAAATAGTTTTATCTTTTGTAGTAATGCCAAGAAGATTTAGGATCATTGTTCTTATTCAGTTATTATAAAAGATGTAGAGTTTGCTTGTACCTGCTCCTTCAGATGGTTCAGTGGAGGCCTGCGAGGATTTTGGTTGTCTTGCTCAGTTTCTCTGTTCAGCACATTCTCTTGGTTCTGGATGATGAAGCTGTTTCTGTGGTAAGGAAGGCCTTGGAAGGGGTGGCGCCATCTTGTTTCTGCAGTGCACTCTGGATCTAAGACATCAATCTCAGCCATTTGCTTCCCCTGTTCATCCTCAAATAGTGCCAGCCACTTTCCTTCTCCAGGGTGTCTCCTTTTCCAGAGAGACAGTGCCTTCCGAAGATCTCATCAGCTCCCAACACCTTGCCGTGGTACTTCCTCTTCACAAGTGTATGCCCCATCCCAATTCATCCTTCACACTGCAAAGGAAATTGCCTTCCTAGAGTTCAAACCCATTGAAAATGCTTTAAACATCCTTCTCACCTTTGGGGGCAAGGCCAAACCCCTTCCCAAGGCAGAACTCTTGGCCACCCCTCTTGCCTGCTTGGCCAACTTCATCTCGCCGGGTCTTCTCCCTTCACTTTCGTTTTACGTGAACCTGGCTTGCTTTGCTCACTCTCCCATGCTGTCCTTCCTCTGTTGTCTGCTCAGTGACCACACCTTAGATTTTCTATATTGAACGCAAAGGTCAGTGTCTCTGAGAAGTCATTCCTGATTTCCCCAGAAGAAGTTACTTCCTGTGGTTCCAGAAACATTGTATATGACTAAAATAATCATGACCTGGACCCCTGATCAGACCGTTCATATCTGAGAAAGAGCTTATGTTCTTTTTCCACGGTGCCTGGCTTAGGGCAATCCCAACCACGACCTTTTATAGAAGTCCAGCCTTCTCCAGACTTTCTGCTAGTCAGGGTCACACTTGTCCATAGCTCCCAACTAAGTTGAGCGCTTCTAAGTGCTTTTGAGCTGGAGCAGGAAGAGGCTGTTTTACCAGAAAGCTTCCAATCTCAGTTGGTTCACCACCACCAACTCCAGACATAACCCTCAAAATTGAAGCTGTTGGGGGACTTTGACAAATTTACTTTGTTTAAATTCCTCCATGCTGCCCTGCTTCTTCAGGGAGCAGAGGTCAGGTCCACTCTACCCTTCGGTCTGTACCTAGTGAGAAATTCCTTGCACTCCTTGCACCGAGGTGAAGATGCCTTCCTTCCTGCAATAGAGCAGATTCCTTTTGCTCTTCCTTCTGTAGTCTGTTAGGTGCTTTGGGTGATTTCTGGAAAGGTGGATCTCAGAGACTGAGCATCTGCACTGTGTGTTAAAGTTCTTCTAAATAGCAATCTGGTGCATTTTCAGTTGATTTATTTCAAAGTAGTTTATTTATTTGTTTATCTATTTATTTAAATTAGCTGTAGGATGTGTGTGTTTGCCAGAGAGAGACAGAGAGAGAGAAAGAAAGCACCCTTTATGAGGGATGGCCACACCACAATCCCTCTTCCTTTGCTTCTCCTCCTTTTAGGATTTTGGGCATGCATGCACACATGCTTGGCTTGTTTTTCAAGCCGCCAGGTCTGGGACTCAGCCATGACGGATCCAGCCACCTTAACCAACACACCAGCAGTTGATCTTAGTTTCGACGTTTTAAACCATGATATGCACGTGAAACTATTATATATATATATGTTTTGGTATTTCAATCTACTTGAATATGGAGCGAAGGTGGAATAATCTCCAAAATATCTGTCTTTCCTAGTGGAGATCCTGCAGCTTATTAAGAAGGCTGGATTTGAGCTGTCACTATTGAAGGAAGTACTCCTAATTCCAGAGGAAGCAGACAAAATTTACTCAAAAATAAAAGGGAAAGACTTTTATAAAGATGTATTGGAAGTATTATCTGAGTAAGTTTCTGATATATCGTTTTTTCACACTATAGAAGTTAAATGTTCATTGGGGAAACTGAAAGATACAGAAATTAATTAAAACATTCTTTCTAATCTCATTCATGAAAAGACACCCATTAACACTGGGGGTCCTTCTGTTTTCTACTTCTTTCCTCTCCTCGCATGCTATCTTCCTCACTCACTCTCTCTCCTTCTGTATCTCCTTCCATCCCTCCGTCCTTCTCTCCCTTTCTTCTATCCTGCCCTCTTTCTCTGTTTAAGTCTTTGCCACATTAGACCTGGAGTCTGTCTGGGTTGAAATCTCTGCTTTGCTGCATACGTAATCTGTGCCTGAGTTCCCTTTTCTGTAAAATGAAGATAATAGTACCTGGCTCACAGGCGTGCAGTGAGGCTCAGAAGTGATACCTTGGAAGTACTCGAAGCATGTTGCATATATCAAGCACTCAATAAATGTTAGTGGTTCTCATCTCTTCTTGTACATGTGTAGATGCCTTGCCAAATTCCTTATGTCTATGCAACATATGTGTGTAGTTCCATAAATATTATGATGCTAAACACGCTTCTTGGAAACGTTTTCTCCATCTTATGGATCCTTCCTCACAGCACATACCCGTTATAAGCACCGCGTCAAAGTAAAAGGTTAGTCTTTATTGAGTATGATTTTAATCCCAGGGATGGCACAGACACACACACTTGACTTCATCTGACTCTTAAAACAACTCTAGAAAGTAGTTTTCACTAGAGTTTCCACACTGGTTATGAGGGAACAGGGGCCAGGGCTGACACTTGTCCACAGTCACAAACTGGTGTTCTTCGGGGCCTTGGGCAGAGAGAGCCCGTGCTTTCCCTTCTGCTTCCCAGAACTCCCTTTCACATTAACATCGTGATTATTTGTATATTCTTCTCAATGCACTTGGAGGTTAAAAGTATTTTTGTGTGTGTGCACACACAGACACACACACAGGGAGACTTCAAAAAGTTTGTGGAAAACTGGAATGAAGTATGAGTTCATTTGGGACAAAAAATTTGCTTGTGGGTAGTTTTTTGTAATGCACACTTACCATGAAAGTTTTGAAGACTCCCCCTCCTTGTGTATGTGTGATTTTAGTCCATTTTCTATTACTTAATAACTGAAGACCCATACGGAGTTATTCGAAGGAACAAAAATTATTCAGTTCACAAGCTTGAAGGTTCAAGGTCAGAGGCCACATCTGGAAAGGTTCTTGTTCTTACTGGAGGGAATTTTCTGCAGAGTCCCACGGTGGCACAGAGCATCGCATGGCAAGACAGAAGGGAAGTGTGTGTGTCTAGGTCTGTTTCTGTGTCCCCCTTCTTATAAAGTCATCAGGACCCACTCAGGGAGGCTCCACCCCGATGACCTTTCCTAGTCCTAATCATCTACCAAATGCTCCACATCTTCATCCCTGGGCTTTCGCCCCTTTGCATACCGTCACCAGAAAAGAAGTCTCAAGGCGGGAGTTTGGGGGAGACTCCTTCAGTGACCATCACGTGCGTTCGTACACACACATCTGTACAAGAAGCCTCTTTAGTGCACCTCGGCCCCTTTCAGCCCATGATCATTTGCCAAGGAGTCTAAAAAGGCAAAATGAGTTCAAACGAACGATTCAATGAAATGTACGAGTTGTAATTAGGTGCTAGTACGCAGAAGGTTAGTGATTTGAGCACAGAGAAGCCATCATTCATGTTGGCTGTAGGTTGCATCTCCTGGGAAGCAGTCTCCTGTTGAGGCTGTTTATTAGGGCGCCAGGCGGAAGGCTGGAGAGAGACGCCAGACTGGGAAGTGGAAGGAGGCAGGATGCAGTACAAGGAGGGCAGCAGACTGCAGTGACCAGGGTCGGACTGCCCCGCCCAGCTGTCCTGGATCAGCCAGGCCTTTGTGTTTTCACAGTCACGGGAGGCCGGCCCCTGGAAGTGGTAGGCCAAGCAGGGCAGTGCTTTGTAGTGGAAGATCCTGAAGGGGCTAGAAGCGAAAAGCAACCGCAAAGTAACCCATGACAACATTGGTACTGACTGGGCCCAAAGTAGCAAAGATAATAAAAAAAAGATGCTATTCATGAATATTCCTTAGCACTAGACTATAGCTCTCATGTGACATAAAATTCTGGCAGAAGACAGAGAAATGAAAAAAAAAAAAAAAA